TTTTTAATTTAAAATTCAATAATATTTTATAATATATAAATATACATCTTTCGTACTGTAATAATTATATTTAAAATAGTTGCTATATTTTGTAATGATATTTTGTATGATTATATTTATATAACCAATTTTGAACATGAAAATTATATTATTTTTTTAATAATATGTTAGATTTTTAGCTTCATATATATAATATATAAAATAATTAACTATATAATTGTCTCTTATTGTAAGAATTATTTTATTTATTTATTTAATTTATTTATCTAATATATATATTTATATGCACAGAACTTAATTTAACGTTAATTGATGATTATATTAATTTTTTTTTATATTATGGCAAATTAACGATGTTTTCATTTAATATAATTAAAGTATTTAATTTAATGTTTTTTATGAATTTCACTAGTACTTATGCATTAATTACATAAATAGTTGAAACCTATACATTTATATTTAAAACTTTAATTTGATATTTAGTTTATTTACAAAATAATTTTTGATAATATGAATGAAAAGTATATATATATTTACTCTTTATGCTATACAAATTACTAAATTGTAAAAAATAAAAAAAAAGTGATAACTTTACATAGATTTATATTATTTTACAATATGCTTTTGTTTTTTTTCTTCATACGTTTAAATATTGACATTTTTTATTATTATGCTCATGAAAGGTTTATTAACTTTTTTAACATTTATAAGATTTTTGAAATATTTATTAGAAGTAAATTTTAATAATATCAGTTAATTTATATAATAAATTGAGTATAATGCATCAATGCAGATAGTTTTTTATTTTTAAATTTGAATTATATTACATTAAAGTTTTTATAATTTATTATGAAATACTTATAAGTACAATAAAAATAAGAATAACTTAACACATAATAATGTTAACCACGATTAAAATTTGGATGAAAATTTGAATACAAAATCTTGATTTTTAATAATATTGATTAATATTTTTTTTAATAAAATACTTTAAACGTATAATGTACTGAATATAAATTTATATCTGAATTAATGTAATAATATGAAACAATTTTTCTAAATAGTTAATTAGTGGAAAAAGCACTTGCAGTAGTTAAAAAATATACTTAAAAAGTCTTGGCATGACTTTCAACAACCGATTCTAGAAGTTATATGTTGAAATTAATTGATTATTTTTTCTGTTCGATTTAGTCTTAATGACTTATTTCAATTTCACAATCATATTTCTATGTTAATTTTATTTATATTACTCAAAACTGTACAATAATATTTAATAGGGGAATTTTATCTGTTATAGAATGTTGTGGTCACTCTACAATATATTTTTCGATTTTATATACTTTAAATATGATTTAATATACTTTCAATATACTAATATCATAATTAATTATGATCCACTATATTTATAATATAATTTAATTCAATTCGACATCTATCAAAATTATGAAAACAAATTAAATATCATTTACAATAAGTAACTTTGTTATCATAGTCACATATTTTTTGGATTCCATATTATGTATATTTAGAAATTTCAATAAGTTGAGATCTCAATTGCGCATGCAGTCAATTAATTTTGACGATTAAAAATTATCCAAAAAATCTTATATGAATAATATATAATTTATTACCAGTGATATAAATTTATATGTTTTACAAAAGCTATATATGTATACGCGCGTGCGTAGTAAAACAATAAAATGCATAGTCCATTAAATATTTTTGATCGATTATTTAAAAAATTTATTAAATTGAGATATTAAAAATTTTATTTGTTATAAAACATTATTATAGTATTTTAATGACTACTTTATTTATTAAAAATAAATTATAAATTTTGGACCAACTCGATAAATATTTTAGATTATTTTTAGCACTATATATATTATGATTAAACCATATTAAAATATTCTTATTTCTTAAATACAGTTAGAACGTATTTATTTAATAAGGCTTTATAAAATTATATTTTATATTATATTATATTTGTATAACAAAGTGGTAATATATTGATAATTTTAACAATATATATAAAATAAATATTATAAATATATAAAATCCATAAACAATGTATATTTTTTGTTTAAAGTACAAGATTTTATGCATACAATTGAATTTTATAAGTATATAGATAGATTTTTATAGGATTTTTCAGAATCGATTATGATTTATAATAATGTAGAAATGCATTAAAAATATAATTCATTACTAAAATTCTTATTTTGTAATTAAATTCATTTGTAACGAAATTAAATAGGTTATCTTTATATCTAAATAGTGTTCAGTTTTTAAAGAAATGTTAGTATTCAATTACTGTAAAAACTACTTTATTTGAAATACACATTGTGATAAATGACTATCAAGTATAACAGATTTCTAGTTAGTTCAGATATATAAATGTACAAGGCTTATGTTGTAAATATATTGTATTTGATGAATATATACTCTTATTTTACTCCGAAGCTATTTAAATAATAGGTACAATGTGTAGGTAATCTCCAAAGTATATTAGCTTCCTCTTTTGATTTGTTTAAACAAGTACACTTATACAATGTCTTTTTTTTTATTTAATCTCGTCTAATTGAAGACTATTATTTATTAAACGGTTTGTTGCCTGCTGAAATGAGCACGACAATTATTCTGTTCAAATCATGATTCATAGTTCTGTACCTTTGCTTATCATATAAGTAATATTTTGGTGGATTTTTAACTCACTAAATATAGTTAGTCTGGTAATCATCATCTAATTATTAAAGTATTTGAAAATAAAGAATGCAAAACAGAAATAGCTAAGATTCAATGACAAACAAATTAAAGCAAGAATATTGAAAAAATATGGAAGAAACTCATCATAACATGTCAGAAGAATTAGAATATATGTTCAATATATTAATTATTGTATGTTAATTCCTTTTATATTTCAAATAATTTGATAAATGCGATATATACTTTGAATAATAGATTTAATTTTATTGAGATGATTAATATTTAGATACATATTTATACACGTTTGTAATATTACAAATATTTTAAAAATAATTTTCTCTTATTTGAACTAGAAATTTGATAGATTAATGCAATTGAATTGTTTTATAATTCTTTTAATTTATTTATAGCTAACAAAAAATTTAACAACAAAAAATGATACAGCTTTGAAAAGGAAAATAGAATCTAAATTTAAAAAATTCAATATCATCATAGAAAACTGAATATAGAATATATTTTAAATTTTAAAGTGACTAATCAATGTTACAAGGTAATTATCGTACATCCTTCTAAATCTATTGCTTTATGAATAAAAGCTGTAATTAGTTGTTATCGTATTTTTACTCATCAAATTAAAATTAAGTTAAAGATATATAAAATATAGAATATAAACAATTTTAGTTTTAAAAATTAATTTAAGATAAGTTAGTATCATACCATTTCTTTTCTCAATAAATTTATATTACGTCGTTAAATCCATGTTGGTTATTTTAAATTTAACACTCACTAAGAGTCTAGATATATAAGTTTTGTTTTTATATTTATTAACAAACAAGCTATATATTGAAGTATTGATTTATAATTTATCAAACAATTAAAGTTATTGAGTGTATTAAATCACTTTTTAATAGCATTTCTATTTATTTAATTACCAATTAATTATTTTTTTACATAAAATTATAGTTATAAGATAATAAATATTGTTTAAACTACTTGTACAATATTCAATTGAAAATACCCATAAACATTAAATATTAATATATTGAAGTTGAATAATGAACTCTAATTATTGCATGTAAATCTTTATAATATATTAAAAACTAAATTTTTAATTTCTTAATAAACTTTAAAATAAAACAACTATATATTAAAATTATATGCAACTAAAATTTTGAAAAGTATTGTTATATAAAATACATTAAACTTTTTTAAATACAAGATTCAGTTATATAAATTTATCTGTAATATATATGGTATTTAAGTTAAAAATCAAATATTATATGTGTCTTTAATTTATATGAATATAAGTATTAATAAGTCTTTTTGATATTAGTTAAGAATTATATAGAAAACAAAGTAAAAATATATATTAAAATATAGTTTTGTGTATTTTTATAATTTATAATCTTGAAAAGTAGTCCATGTGAATCTTTTTAAAGCATAATCCATTCAATTTAGATAAAATTATATGAGTGTTCAAACTAAAAGAATAAAATGTATTTTTATCTTTATTCCATTTACATTTTGTCATCACTCAACTATGAAAATATAATGATATTCTCTTTTATTTTAATTACAAAAATATTTGTTTTAACATCATTTATCTCTTTTTTCACAAAATAAAACAAAGACCTACATTGGAAAGAATACAAAATTCTTGAAGATAATCTTTTATCATGTATAAACATATGTTAAAAAAATAGGATAAGCTTAAAAATATATATCAAAAACTTTAAGCAATTATGTAACTGATTTTATTCTAACACACTAATGATGATACTGAGAAAATTTGCATAAAGAATATAGAAAATTAAAAAAATAATTAACTTCATTTTATATTTTTTTTGTATTGTATAATCATAAAAATATGATTGATATATGAAATTTTTATTTAATTTTCATTAAGTATTAATTTTTCATTCAATCAATACCATACTAATAAAATAACAAATCTTTAATAAATTATTTTTTAAATTTTTTAGGAATTTAATTGAAATGTTGTTAATCATTTTTGCATTTGTTAACTCTATCATTTATAATAACTAAAAAATAAGTTACTAATAGCTAATGTATTTTAATACTTAATTTAAGTGATTTATAAGAAATAGCACTACATTTCTTTTGTGTATATATTTATAATATTTTTATATAAAATAAAAACTAATACATATTTCACACAAAAAGTACGTATTATAGCACGTAATGGAAATTATGCTTAAAAGTATAGAAATAGTTTATGTACATTGAATTATTGACATAAGTTATAAGTTATTAAAACTATTTTCAAAGTTAGCAAATTAAATATTCTATTAATGTGTTAATAAACAAAAAGTGGATACAATATACAATGGATTAAGAGTGTATACAATTTTAAATATCAAATAAATAGTGAAGATATATCATAATTGGCGCAACTACTAAACAATGAAAATGCCTATTGTAATAATATAATTATATTCCTCATGATCTTAGTATTTATAGTACATATCCAATCACTAATAACCACTTATAACTTAAAATCATTGGATAGATCTGCAGTTATGAGTCGCTGTTTGGATTTACTCATTCATAACAAATGGAATTTTTAAATGAAATAATCCAGAGAATGATGTTGATATTGCTCAGGGAACGAGTTATCACTTTTTTTCTGCTATTGCTGCTAATGTCACCAATGCTGTACTCGCACGGTAAGTAACTATTATAGTTCATCATCGTTTTTCATACTTTTTATTGTTCTCAATTTTATTTAAGAGACAGATTTATTATCGACTAAATTGTGATATGTTCAGTTTTTAGTTTTGACTTTAATGTTAGAATTAACTAGTAAGAAAGCAATTTTTTTTACTTTCTGCAAATTCATAAATGTATTTTTCCATATTTATTCAAGTAATCAATCATCATAAATGTTTTTCGATTTAGTTTGTTAAAAATAACGATAAATATCAAAAGTAATATTTATTGGCAATTAGTATTCCAATGTCAACTTTTATTATTCAATATAATATTATATATAAGTTATATTGTAATATATCCCAAATTCTCGTCCCAAATGTTTACAGAAATCTGAACCCTTTATCATAAAAATACTTGATTTTAAATTAAAAAGTTAAATTACATGTTAATATATATAAATCATTACTTTATATTTTAAATAGAAAATAAGTTTTGGTGAAATTAAAAAATAAATATTTATTAAAATTTTAATGACTATAAATTAATCAAAACTTTAGCCAGTATCATTGTACAATATTTATCATCATTTTATCACAGTAAATTATAGTAACATCGGGGGCGAATCCTTTTCTATAATTATTTGCAAAATTATCAAATTTGTTAAAATAATAATATTTTATGGTAAACGATTTAAAGTAGTCTGTAATGATTTATTCATAAATCCAATTACAAAAAAAAAATAAAATTGATACAGTATAAGTGTATAGAATTCCAAACATCCAGTGGTTGAAGGACTAAAATGGTTGGATTATTTAATTTATCATTAATTATCGTACTGTTTACTGCCTTTTATTTTACTAACTACATAATAATGTATCTAAGATGGCGTTGAGTATCGGTGAGATCTTGCAGTTCGGTGGTGATTGCTCGGATGATTGATCGGGTCCTTTTGACGTTGTGTGTTTGGTGGTAAATTATTACACTCTCACAGAATTTTCTTTAACTTTATTATTAATTTTACAATTACTTTTTACTGTTTCATTAAAATTATTATGTTTAATTAATTAAATTAATGAATCTAATTTTTCTTTTGAGTAATTTGACGTTAATTGTAATAAATATATGAATATTCTAATATATAAAGGTTTAAATTGATGTTTAATTGAAATTGAAATATTGTATTATGTAAATTTTGTTAATAGAATATTAGTCCAACAAAAGTATCAGTTTCTTAATTAAATTAAAAAAAATCAATCTACAACTGAATTTTTGAATTAATTTACTTTAAATTCTGAAAATATATTGAAATTTAGATTTAGAAATAATAAATGAACTTTATAAATGATGAAGTTCTTAATTTATAAGAATTAAATTTCATGAGACTTCACGACAAATTAAATTTATGTATTTTTATTTCACGTAGTTCATAAAGCATTTATAAATAATAATTTATACTTATAATTATAAAGTGTATCGAAAGAGTGATATTTATTTATTTAATTGTTATTAAAAAATTAAAAACTATAGTTTTAAAGTAATGTAAATTGAAATCTACCAATTAAATGGATATGATTAGTTCAATTTAATGAATCTGTATCATTTAAATATTTTTATTATATAAAATAAAATCTGTTGAAACTACTTAAGTTATAAAAACTATTAATATAACACTAGTTCCTTTTAAATTTCTAATAATTTCAAAACATAAAGATATTTTTACTTTAAAATAAATGAAAAAATAAATTAGAAAATTACATTATATAGATAATTATGTTTTTTGATAGAGAGTGCTAGTGACACATCAAAAAAGACAACAGGATATACTCGTAGTATTATTTTAGCAAATCTGTGGAATCGTTTCGATTTGGGATGGTCTTTACCTGTAAATTCATTATATTCTCAAAAACAAGAATTTACTTTCCGACATTTTGATTCTTCTACAACTATCAATACTGCAGTATCATTTCTTGCACCTGATAAGTCAAAAACATCGATTGCTGACCATATTACAACTGTCAATACTGCAAATCAAATGCCAATTCAAATAGATATTATGACTGTTAACCAACGTTTTACGCGTTCATTAGAAGTAAGTATTTTGCAATAATTAAAATTTTTTCTTCAATCTACATCACAATGTGTTCACTTTTGTATAAAAAAAAAATGAATTTTTGTAAGAACTATCCTTTAAAAAATCGTACAATTACATTATTAATGCGTTTAATTCACTTCTAATGGGAAAATGTGAACTATGCTGCTCCTTTGGTGATGGTGACGATGTTGTTGCTGATGAAGGATCAGTAATGGATTGCTTATACGTGTTATAATTATCTAAGAGACCACGAAATGTTATTTGGAAGGTATGTACGGGCAAGCGGAAGGGATAGCATATTAATTCGATCATATATCACGATGTGGAAGGGATAGCATATTAATTCCATCATATATCACGTGTTTATTAAGTATTTATCGGTTCGCGAAGATCCTGTGAACAGCTACACAGTTGAAACATACGCCACGGCTATAAGGGCAGAGATATTACAAGGATGAATAGTGAATATCATCACCACGTGAAAAATACTGAAAAGATTTTACAGATTCCAGCACCAACTTAGAATAATATTCATTGTAGTCCCTAAATAAAGAGAAAACCTAAGATACGCTATGTTTTTAAATTGAATTAATGCGCCTTCCTCTTCCACTTGCCAGCAATCCCCCCACGGAACATCACTGGCAGGTTTTTTAGTCTGATCCCAGACAGCTGGATTTTCTCGAGTCTAACGATTTGTTTTGCCAGATATTTTATAGGCAGAACTTTTTAGAAGTCCAACAACTTTTATGGCTGAATTGTGTAATAATTATCCTCAATAGAAACTACTGATATATCCCCGTGAAGGAATACTTCGACACTATGTTTCTTGTATGAGGATATACCAGTAGTCTCCCTTGATGGTAACTATTCATCACTTACAACATTAGCAACAACATCGTCACCATCAACAAGGAGCAACTATATCGTTGTGATTGAACATAGTTCACATTTTCCCATGAGAAGTGAATTCAACTAAGCAATAATGTAATTATTGCTATTAATAATCAATAAACCATAATAAACCATATTTAATTAACTTAAGTCCTTACTTAAGCACCCGCTAAGGCAGGTGATAAATTAAATTGAACTATGGAACATTGGCCCTTAGAGCCAGAAAATCGAACAATTATTATAATCAATTGTACAATTATATAAATATCAAACACAGGAATTTTAGTTATTGGGTAGTTTTTTTTTAAAATACCTATATTTTTACAGACAAATGTGATAAAAATTGATACTGTAACAGTATCTTCGAGTATAGATAATATTACTCGTCGATATAGAAGAGAAGATCAAAATAATTGTTACAAATTTGAAGAAGGTGATCCAGTAAAAAAAGAATTTTATAGTCCTAATTATCCAGAGCCATATCCAAAAAATATAAGTTGCTTCAAGGTTTTAGAAGGTAAGGTATTTGTATATTTTTTTTTATTACAATAAATTAAATTTTATAATATAGATAAATATTTAATACAGTTCATTAATGTTAATAATTTAGAAATCTCCAATATATGATATAGCTCAGAAGAAAAAAAAAGTATTGTATAAACGTTTAGACTGTAATAGTTTTCAAAAATTAACATATATTTAAAAGTGATTAATAAATATATTGTAACAAAATTTAATTATAGTATATTTAGATTTTATGATAATAATCATTCACGAATCAAAGTTAAAAATTAAAAAAACTAATAAATTTGTACAAAATGTATTCGCCGTTCCGGCTTATTTTATCGAGGCCGGTTCGAAGGATACAAATTGATGCGGTTGATAACTCAGAGATCACGGGTGTTGTGTGGTAGCGATGAAAGGTCACAAGTGGAAGGGATATTATAATAATACAATACAAGTATAGCTGATGTATATACTGTTTATTCTGTTATTTATTGATCATAAGGTTGACTAGTATTATTATTATTAATTATTGAAATAATTTTTGGGTTGAAGTGATGTGTTTGCGGTGGCAAACGTATACTCATCTATGCAGCTTGATGGTTTGAATATGAATGTAGAATGGCGCCAAGTTTCGTTCGTCGACACTAGCGCTGTTTGAATGAGCACGTGTGTGGTTGAGGTTATGGATGCAGCGTAATGATTGAATTTTACCGCAGAGTAGCTCAAAGCTTGATTCGTCGACACTCGCGCTGTTTGTTGCTTGATATCATAAGCGTCCGAACTTGAACTAAGGTGAGGGTTGCCGAAAAGACGCCCTTTTTGCGGGCGCAAACTTGACGGCGCGTACTAGAATCTATTCCGCACTGTTGCTCTGGGGAGAGCTTTTTCGCCGTTAGTTGCTTGTCGATGTAATAATCTCTGAAGCTCAGAGTATGTGATTATTGTAATAATAATATTACTTACGAAGACTGCTGGTATATTTGAAATGGGGACCTTCTTGTTCTTTCTTCAAGTGGGCTTGTCACTGGACACTTGTCGTTAGAATGCGTCACCCGCCAATAGGACTTGTAAGGATAGCTGTGGTGAACTATGTTAATAGGAAACTACCAGCGTCTTCGGACTCCGATAATGGAATGTGTCTCCCGCCAATAGGACTTGTAACGATAGTTGTCTTGAACTACACTTAAAGAAGACTTTCCACTTATTAATTGAACAGTACTGTATCGAGAGTGATGAGTATTGAAAAATTCGCTCCTTAAATACATTTGCTGACCATGAATTTCACTTGAACCCCTTTCCATATTTTTCGTCCAATCAGAGACTCCTTCCTTACAGAGCGAGGACAGCGTCTCTTGTGGCCTTATAGTTAGTTAAGGGCTTGAAGTAATTACCGAGCGGAGCGAATGCGTACATATGATTAACTAAGTGGATTTTTCTGTGTTTATTATATTGTTTTTCCAGGTGTTTTATGACACTATTGCTAGATAGTTGCGAGCAAGAAAGTTTTGAAATCTAAGCACAATTTTTACGATGTTGTTTTGCCAGATGTTATATTGCATTGGAAAAAGGTCTCGCAATCTCATCATATTCGTTGATCATATTCGTTGATATACGGTAGTTACATTCATATTAATCTAAGTTTTTTTTACTAACGAATACCCAATACTTTTGATTAAAAGTACGTAAATTAATTTCAATATTAACCTAATTAGCACTTTTATGTTTAAATTCAATATTTAAATCAATCATTTACATAGTACATACTAGGTAAAATAATATGCTTCCAGATCAAAACATTCTTACTGTGTACGTAGAGACGTACGACAGATTATTAGGTACGAATAACGAAACGTGGTGTAGCTGATTTATTAATTAAGCATTCAAAAAAATATATTAGATAACAATTTTTTAAACATTTGTACGTATATTTAAAAATCATTTCTATAAACTAAATATTTACAAACATTTATGTAGTTGAAATAAAATCATTATAGAAAGAAGACGATTGAAATCCAGAACTGATGTTATAATGGAAAATGGAAAGGACTCATGACTATGGCTAGCGTGGTTATTGAAAAAAAAGAAATTCAGGGATAGTAGATATATAGTGATGTAGATACACGCTAGGAGATTAAGATAGAAAAATGCAGACAAGCTAATAATATTATTCAAGCGTTCAGTATATGTTTACAACTTTACCTATACCTGCATGCACTTTACTTGCTTATGCGTTTGCACATATTTACATTTTAGAATATTCATATATATAGTTAAACAAACTCACATTCCAATAGCCCCATTAAAATAAAAAATTTGTATATTTTATAGTTATTCCTATATTTAATTTGGCTACATTTCAAATATAAATTGTTCTATATTTTTTATCTGCTTATATTGCTAGCGAAAATTTTAATAAAAATTTAATATGAATAGTGCATACAGACATTTGAAATTTGCGAAGCGTGATACATTGATACAGTTTGTGTAAATATACTTGCAGATAGTTATGTAGATAACTATATTATATCTATCGGCCCATTAATATCCTTTATCAAATCATGTTTAGAACTCTCAATTAGTAGATATAATATTAAATATTTAAAAAGTTTTAATTTTCTATTACAATTGTTGATAAAATAGTGAAATTAAATAAAAATTACAAAGAATTATCTTGACTATACAAGTTATCAATCTTTAATGAATATATTATAAATATATTATCTTATAACTCGGATTGTTAATGAAAATATATGAAAGTGGAAAATTAATTTGCACAAATTGAAATAAATTGCTGAAAAATATTTTCATAATATTTTTATTAGTAAGAAAAATAAAAATATTTCCATTATTTATTTTCTTATAAGTACATAAAAAGTCAATTATTATTTTAAGTGTAACAATTTAAAAATATTAACTATATGTTCGAGATTCAGAGAATCTCGAATGTTATAATTTGGGGAACAATCTCAAAGGCTATCATTTCAAGGAAAAATCTCCAACCATCGTTGGAGGTTCGGAAAAGCCGGTACATCCAAAATGAGATTAGTACACAATCACAACAACATGATCGGCTTCATTGTTGTCAGCTAATAAAGCTGCCGCGTGGCTATTTAATACAAACGTACTACGAGGCGCAATAGTAGATTTTCACTCATTAACGCAGTCAGTTATGCTACTCACCCATGAAAGCTAGTCGCTCATGCGTTTCTGTCGCGCGCTAGTCATTCAGAGCAACACGCTCTGCTTAATGATGACGCCGTTGACAGAGGCGCTCTTACCGGTGACGCCGCTGAAGACATACGCTGTCTTATGGGAGATGCCACTGAAGACTCACGCTGTCTTATGGGAGACGTCGTTGACAGAGGCGCTCTCTTGATGGGGGCACCATATCAGATAGAAGCTCTCGCTTGGTGGGGATGCCAAGAAGCCAGAGGTGCTATTATCTAGTATCTAAGTAAGACCGCGATAGAAGGAAGACGCATCAAACAGGTTTTGACGCTATCTCCTTCATATCAAGAAAACACCAGACGACAGAAGATATACTCCCTAATCCAGGAGCGTGCATAATTATTGCTGATCATTGCAAAATCAACAATAATTCATCCACATCAACACGGAACATTGGTGATGGTGAACTACTCATTACAGGATAAGATCAAGGCTGCTGCATCACTGTGAGTAACCAAAATCTGTACACATAATTGCTATTCCTTACAAGATTAGCAAGACTATTATTACATAGCGTAAGACTCCCTAACATGCAGTGTGCATACTTAGTTGTTGATTCTTATAAAATCAACATCATCATTATCAATGAGCATCTCGTGTAGATAAATTATTCACCACAGGAACAGTTCCAAGTAACTGCATCTTCGTGATTGAATATAGGGTACATATTCCCATCGTATAAATTCAACACATCAATAATGTAATTGTAAATAAATCATAATAAACCATATTTAACAAAGAAGCATACGCTATACTTCTACAGCCCTTCCACTTAATTCCTTCCAAGTATCTGCTAGGATGGGCGGCAATTATTATAAAGCTATCGAAACATTGGCAGTTCGCACCAGGAAATGAAACAGTTTCGAACACCATAAAACAGTCAATGTATATATTTTTTTATTTAAATATATCTAAATTTATGAAAAAATGTGGCTTAAAACTAATTGTTAATATTTATTCTAATTAATTAAACATTATATTTATACATTGATTTATATTAATTATAAAACTTGATAATTAATATAATTATCAATTAATTTATATTTAATAATTTATTAATTTATATTTTATTTATTTATTTATATTAACGTTAAAATTTTAACAATATATTTGTTTTTGTAATTAATGAGTTTAGCATAGTATTGACCTGAAATTATAATATTGGTACATTAAATTTTTGTTGAAAAAAACCATTAATAAAATAAACTTTAGAAAAATGAAATTTCTATCTAAAATTTTAAAAGAACCTTCATGTTTTATGTAGTGCATTCAATATATCAAAATATTTGTACTAGCATTTTATCATACTTATTCTATTTATCGAAAATCAAACTTCTAGCAAAAATTCAAAAAATATAAAATTTTTTACAATTAGAAAAATCTTAAATAATTAGAAATAAATAAATAAAAATTTATTTAAAAGTTTATTTAAATAATTAATTGAAATTGTTCTTAACTAACATTGAATAATAACAACGAGGTTTAATATTAAAACATAAGTAGGTTCTTTTATTCCTATATAGAAAATAAATTAAAATAATTTGCCAATTATTATTTGCTTATGTTACAAACTTTAAATTACATAAAATATTGTTTTATAAAATAATCTATTATTTTATAAGGATATATATATATATTGAAATGAGTACATTTATATTATGTATTATCTGAATTTTTACCTATAAATATAAGAATAAATAAATTTTATTGTTAGTATAAATAATAAACTAGTTTCGTTACCTCTTAAATGTTTTAACCATTTATATAGTATTATTGAATTGAAATATATATAAATTGTATTGATTATATAGTTTTATGCTAATAAATTGCTTTAATTTTTTCATATGGAACAGGAATATAAATGTATTTTGAAAACGATCGATTACTTTTTTGTAATTTCAGTACAGAATAAAATTAAATGTTATGTAAATAAAAAATAAAATTATTTGTTTTTTAATTGATTTAATATATATTTATATTTTTTACTAAAATTAACAATAATAAATTTACACTTCTAATTTTTATAGTGATTTAGTTTTCTAATGCATTAGTTGAAACTTCTTTTATTGTTGTTACTATAGTTTTTAATATAATATTGCGTTTTTATAATATAAATAGTAAAAAAATTTAAATATTGATAACTACATTTTTTATTGCTTTTATTTTTTAACAATATAACACTTACGAGCAGATCTATAATATATGCATCCACATATAATTTAATAAATATTTTGTCACTGTATTTTAGAAGTTAAAATATCAATTTATGTGTTTCAAGACTTATATGGTTTTATCTAATTAAAAACGTTGTTTTATTACTAGGGATAAGCATAGACTATTTATATGTATAGTAGGATATACTGTTCAGGATTGAAGATTTCCAAGACCGTTGAAATCGGCATCGCTAGTCTCTCTAGCTCTCAAGTTCGTGTAAAGACTTGGGTATTAGAATTTTCGAGTACTCGTTATGTATTGGTTTCAAATGGCCTACAATGTTTATATGATCTTCGAGCAGTAATATCGCTTGGAATTCTATAAACTTCTTAAGCCTTGTTTTTTCTTAAAATTCTCGAAACTTCTAGAGTTCTCTTCTGCGCCTCATGTAAGATTCTAGTATAGCAACAACGATGCTTTCTTGCCGGCTAAGTAAGCTGCCGCGCGGAGATTTTAAGGACACCACACTACGCCTAGACGTTCATTGTAAATTACTCAATCATTCAGTTACATTCATTGTACTTACATAATTCAGTCAAACCACAGCTATAGGCTAGATACGCCAATACAGTGAAGCTGTTATATTTAATACCAGTCCAACCCTGAAGTGTATAGTAATTTAAAGCAGTCAAGAGTACTGATTGCATTGCATTAACGCAAGAACGAGCACGACTATAAGAAGCGTAATATCTAAGGACTCATCACAAGATCCGGCAAGGCAACTGAATTTCTGTGAGTATAACCACCTAGCCGTGAGAGGCATCTCTAATTGTGCGATAAGCACCTAATTGCACGATAAGCACCTAGCAATCGGGCATATAATTGTGCGATCAGCATCTACCAAAGAGCATTTCTTTCAATACATTACCATCATGTGGCATTACACGGAGAAGTACCAGAGATTTACTTTTCAGTGTAACAATTTACCACCGAGCATCCGAGGATCCGGAGATTTATGACCTACTACCTCTGCGTGGAGTGCATGCTAAAACCACGTGTCAACTACCACAGAACTACAAGATCACACAGATTATCAACGCCATCTCAGAATCATTATTATTATGTAGTTGTAAATTAAAAGGCAATAAACAGCATGATAAGCAAATGTATGTAATTATTGAATAAAGGTGCTATCCTTTCTACTTGCTCGCAATCCTCCCACTGATCATCTGGGAGCGTAGTCTAATAGTAGACAGATACAGTGGTTTATATAAAAATTTTTTTATGTAATATAATTAGATTTTAATCTATGTAATGAGGTATTAATGTAATTTTGAGTTTTTTATATTTATAAAATTAAAATTTTTATAATTCGATAAATTTTACTTTTAAACAAAATTTTCAGTATGTTTAATTAACAATTTCTATTGTTAATTCAAACATGCTAAAAATTCTAATTTTGAAAGTCACAATGAAATGATATAAAATCTATGTTAATATTAATCGTTAAGATTTCAATTTCTAATACTTATTATATTTGTTGCATTATTTGGTTCAGGCTACAAAAGTTTTCCTTATTTTACAATAACTTAAGAATATATTTGATTTACGTGATTTCAGACAATAAAGTACCTTTAATTTTTTTAATTTATGCTTTCCTTGTAGTTTCTTTAAAATTTGATTTTGAATAAATGGTAAAATTAATAACCATAAGACGGCTATTATATAGATTTTATATAAAGGAATATTTACATTTATTACGGGGGTGCTGAATTTCAAGTCAAAGTTTTCACTAAACGATCAACTAAAAAATGGAAATCAATTTTGTTTTGTAAATTTTGAATACATTAATTTAGATCTTGAATTTATGAATTGAATAATTATTTCTGTATTTTTAAATAGATAATTTAAGAATATGATATATCGAATAGTATAAAATTGAAATTTGTTTGAAACGAAAATGAGATTAAAATTTTCGATTTTTGGTAAATTGTTCATTTACTAAACTTTAGTAAAAAGAATTACTTCCGTAGTAATCATTATAACAATAATTTACGACTTACTTATTTTTATAAGAATAATGTATTTATATGTTTTAATGTACATACTAATTTCATACGCAATAATTTCATTTTTAATACATTTATTTTAATAAAATAGATATAAGTTTAGTTAGTCTCAACATTATTTCAAATGATTAATTTTTTACAAAAAATTTCACAGTGAAATGAAACTATTATGAACATTTTTCAAATAATGGATTAAGTATTTATTAAGTTATTTTTTTGTATTAAAGAATATAAGCATGATGGGCAATTAGTAATAAATGATAATGACTTTAAATCTTCTTTATAGCATAGTTTTGTATAAAAAACTTTCATTAGTAGTGTCAAAATAATTGAAGGTGTATAAAACTTTATTCTTAAAACCATAAAAATGAAAATTGATATCAATAAATTAATTTTAATATATATTTTATATTACAGCTGATCCAGGGATGGTGATTAAAGTAGAATTTCGAGATAATTTCGAACTTGAAGATCAAGAAAATTGCACCTATGACTTTTTAGAGGTGCGTGATGGAAAATATGGTTATTCGCGGTTTATTGGAAAATTTTGTCGTGCTTTCCCATTTCCAGAAATTACGTCGAGTTCAAGATATCTGTGGCTTTATTTTCAAAGTGACAACAGTATTCAGGGAATTGGATTTCGTGCGGTATGGAGTATGGTTCCAAGGCCCGCAGGTAAAATCATAGAATATGTAATAATTTTATTCTGATTGTATGTAAATTATTCGAATATACCACAATTAATTTCAATAAAATTATTAAAAAATATTTTTGAAATAATTATAAACATTAAAATATGCAAAAAAAAGTTTTTGAAATTCAAAATATTTTAGTATCTTTAATAATTAAAATTAAAGACATTAAAATATGTAGGTATTGCAAATACATTAATTATATTATGGTTTCTCCCAGAAGTTAAAATCCACGTATGAATATTTGAACACATTATTCGACGTGAATTAATAGATTGAATATGACACAAGATTATATGTTCTGTAATTATCTTATCACGGGAGACAAAAGCGGAATTAACTAAATTCGAATGCAGCAGTTGTGGTCCTCGCAATGTTAAAATATCATTAGAGGAACTTAAAGTCTGCAATAAAGAGGTGACAATGATAAGCTTATAACTTAGAAAGCAAGAGACAAATTAATAGTGCAAAGGAAGTAATAAAGAGAAAAAATTATATAGTAGAGCAACTATTCAGAGAACAAAGATAGCCGGCGTATTCGCATGAACTACCCTTATATATTTAAAATTTTATTTATCACATTGCTTTAGCACATATTCGTATATGTACATTGTTGTTTAATTTACAACCGAATAAATGATAAATGAAAATATTGAAATTAAAATTAAAACAGATAAAATTGTATTTTGTTAAGAATAATAATTTGTAAATTATTGACATCAATAAATGTACATTGAAGTACGAATAATTATATATATATATATATATATATATATATATATATAATTTCAATGCTGATGATAGTATAATAATTTTTAGGCAATTTGGCTAACGAAATAAATTTTAATAAGAAATATAAAATTAGAAAACAGCCATATTGAATTCCACCATTTTATTCTCGTTACTAAAAACTAAAAATATTTTTAGCATGCTTATATTAATTTTTAAAAATTTCAGTTAAAACCCCAGAATCGGTAGAGTGTCTGTTAAATGTAACAAATCTATTAGAATATGAAATAAAAACATCAGAAATTACTGCCCAAAAAAGGATAGCCACAGAACTAGGTACTGAATTAGATTGCATATGGAACATCACCGTACCAGAAGGTTGGAAGGTAAATCCGTTTACGTTATTGATTTATATAATGAATATTTAAGTAAATAGTATTATGTATATCATTTATATGTAATAAATTATTAAAAAATCAAATATTTTAATATAGTTACATAGAAAAGTTGTTTTTTAACATTAAGAATTTCAAAAGTTATTTATCTACATTTATTATATATTTCTTTTTTAATACATTTGTATTAATTTTTAATACAAAATGTCAATACCAAATCATAATGGTTATTGTAATTTCAAAATATAGTAAATTAAAGTAAATTAAGACTTTCAAAAATCGTAATATAACGAATTTAATATAAAATTCTTCAATAATTCATTATTAAGTAACGTAATTATGAATTTTGTTTGATTATTTCAAATTTCTTTACTACTGTTCAAACTGTTTGATTTCCTGACTCGAACTGCCAGTGTTTTGATATCTTTATAATAATTTGCCGCTCGCCCTAGCGAATGCTTAGGAAGGAGTTAAGTGGAAGGGCTGTAGAAATATATAGTACGTGCAGACTTGATTAACATATAGTTTATTAGGAAATATCTTATTGATGAACTGAATTCACTTCTCATAGGAGAGTGTGAATTTTGTTTCATCACATTGATGCATTTGCTCCTTGTTGATGGTGACGATGTTGTTCCTGATCTTCTAAGGATTGGCAATGGATTGTCTTTACTCCTTACCAAGGAGTATGTCCCTTGAAATTTAAATACTCCTTGAAACACATATTTTGAATACACTCCTTGAAAGGAGGTGTTGCAAGGATTAGTAATGATTGTGCATACTCCTTGATATAACTATGTTTTATGCTATGTTAATAATAGCTTTGCTAATCTTGTAAGGATTAGCAATGATTGTGCATACTCCTTGATATAAGTATGTCATATGATATGTTAATAATAGCCTTGCTAATCTTGTAAAGATTAGCAATGAACGCGCGCACACTCCTCCATGGACGTGTGTCAATGATATTCTTAATCACAGTGATACAGCTCCCTTTACCTGATTTTGTGATGAATAGTTACTTGATAGAACGACTATAGGCATACCTTCATGAAAAGGACTGCTTCAATGCCATATTTCTTGTAGTTAAATATTTTCTTGTAATGCAATTAGCACTCTAGGCTTGTTAACTGTCGCGCGCTTAAGAATTGAACGTGTGCTCCTTGTTTGTTTGCTGATAAAACGTAACTGAGTGAGTAGCTTATGGCTGTAAACTCTGGCTGAATAGCATGGCTGACTAGCGTAGATGATTGACTTAGATGAGTAACTAACTTTTCTCGATGCGCGCTTCCTTAAATATCCACGCGGCAGTTAACTTAGCTGGCAACAATGGTTAGGTGTTGCTATGCGGAGATTATACATACTTGCAGGACGTTCAAGAATTCTCGGAAAGCGAAGCTTTAGAAGGTTGGAGAATTCAATTGACGTTGCTATGCGGCGACTAGATAAACGTTGTAGGTCGTTCGAGAATAAGCTTTAGAAGCTTCGAGAGTTCCAGAAATCAAATGCTTACAAATTCGAGAACTAGAAGTGTCTGGAATCAAACTTAAGATCTCCTTATGATGGTGGCTGGAGGTGTTGCTGACAAGTAGAAGGGGCAATGCAATTATTCAATGCTGCCTTTAATGTTTAGTGTCTTTCCTTTTATTAAATATAATAAATATAATAAATAGTCAAATTATGTAAGGTGTATGAATGAAGGTGTAAGTGAATAAATAAGGAGACTTCGTATGTTAGTTACGTGATGATGAGAGTGTGTGCTTTCTGGGCAGAGTAGGGCGCGATCCCTTCTCCTTACAAGATGAGTCGCTGTGGTAGTGGGCGCGCACTGGAGGGGCGAATCGGACGATACTGCTCTTGTCGCCGGTGTAGTTTTAGCGTTGCTATGCCGGTGTGTTGGGGAGGAATTCGTGTTACCTCCGTAGGTTTGAGAGCCGATGTAGTTGCAGTAGTAAGGAACGTCCGGCGCCGATAGCGCATCGGTGGCTGTTGCTATGCCGATATTTGTCGTTACGTCAATAGGGCATAGCCTTGTAGGATTCATTGTTATAACTTTTCGGAATTATAGTCGTATATTCGAGTTCGTTGGCCAGTATTTACAAAACAAATGTTCGACGCTCATACCTCCCACTTTTCTATTCCGCTTTCAACTGTTTTAATCTGTAACAAGAAGGCTTATAAATTTCCGAGAACCAAAGATCTTGGAAAAATACTGCAATTCCGAACAACTACTAAAATTTATAAAACAAAGCTTTTTATTTGCTTTTCCTATATTTAAATAATTCTATTATGTTCTAAAAAATTTTTTTAATTTTTTTACAAATTTAATTATATATTCTAACTATGGAAATGCTTACTTCGAAAGTAAAAAATAAATTGTCCATTAGCTACCAACGGTTAAAATTAATAAAGTTGTGTTGATATGAATTTGAATGTACTTATTTTCTTTTGAATTAGGCGTGCTCTTATTTTGATATGATTAAAGCTTAGAAAAAATTGTATACAAAGAAATATAGCTCTATTAATGAGAAATTATACATAATTATTTACTTTTTTTGATATTTCAATTCCTTGTTATAAAAGTCTCTGGAAGTGATAAAACATTTATGAACTAAGCAACCTTCCATTTTAATTTATGAATATTGGTCAATAGAAATACGATGTTCTTTCCATAAAATAATATGAGTAGATTAGAATGGATTTAATTGAAATCTATAGCTATTTTGATTACGAAATGAAAGGATTCATTAAATATAGAAAAAAGTATTAATAACAAATAGTTTGAATTTAGTTTTACGTTTTCTCAATGTTAAACAATTTAACAAAAAAAGGAACCTTCAATAGTAGAATTTTTAAACAAAGAACTCACTTAATGTAATCAAATTTAAGCAAACTATTAGAAAACAAATGCATATTTTTCTGATATTAATAAAGAAATAAATACATATATATATTTCTTTTTGGATTATATAAGGTAAATGATGTACAATTAGTAAAAATGTATTATCTTTTATTAATTTTAACATTTTTAACAAGTAAATTATATTGTAAAATAGTCTTTCCTGTTTTTGTAGATTCAAATGACATTTCCTCAATTTCATCTTGATAAACCGAATGAATGCGATATTAATTATGTCCAAATCTACGACAAAGAGCCATCAAAGACAAATAATCCATCTCTTATAAATAATTTTTGTGGTAGTATTGCTGATTTGGTAACAAGTAAAGGAAATGAAGCATATCTTAGATTTTTTGTTACAAAAGCTGCTATGAATAGTAGTTTTGAAGCTATTATGACTGCGGTTCGTGAAAAAGAAAGCAAAGATAAGGGTAGGAGTATAAGTATTGTTGATTTTTGTATTTTAAATATAAATTTTATTTGATATTGTGTAATATATTAAACAATGTTATTAAAAAATGAGATAAAGAAGTACATATATATTTTTCAATAAGCTGTTAAACCGAAATTTTTTTATTAATAATGACATATGCATTTGTTTATTTCAATATTTTTTATGTATTTCATGTATGAATCATAGTTCAAATTTGTATACTGGTATTACGATACGTATATGTAAAGTATATCTATGATAATGATTTTTAAATACTTTTTCATACAATGGAAATATTAAAAAATTAATTTTTAATTTTTTATAGTATTAACTTTATTAATAAAATAATATTAGATAATCGTGCATACATTCGTTGTAATACTAACTCATTTTATAATTTATAATTATTACTCTGTTTTTCTGATTTTTTACTGAATTGAAACTTTATTAAATTAAGGATTTATAACAAATTATTTCAATTAGTCAATGTTGCATGCATCATAAATAATACAAAAGTAAAATGCAATTGTCCGAAAAATCTATTTGTTAATGATTTGTATAGACATTCTTGAATATTCATGTATAAATAAAATTTTTAATTCTTATTTAAAAAATACTTTATTATTGCTTTATAACATATTTGATATTTGATTCGACTTTTATTTTATTATTCGAATTCATTATATAGTGTTTAAGAATCTTACTGATGAAATTTGCAAATTTTATGTAATAATTATTTGTAAAAATTACATGTAATGTTTTCTTTCCATAAATAAGTATAACTTGATTAGATCATATTAATCCAAAGTTTTAGTTAGATATCGCCTTGGTCATTATTTATTTAAGTACATATTAAAAATTGGAATAATTATATTTCGTCAAATACAACTTTAGCCATATCAAATCTACTTAATTCGCGAATTGAAAAAGTTGATATTTGGTATACGTAAAATTGGATAATTGGAGCGCTAACCACAAGAATAAACTTATTTAATAAATAATAATTGTTTCACTGAGATGCATTCCACAATTAAATCGAATCAAGTGAATAATATACTAATAAGTACAGTTTTTGTAAGGGAACCGACCATCTGTACAATTATGTAATGTGTACCTTCAATAAGATTGAATTCTTGAGATTTCAGGTTAAGACTTCCAACTAACATATTTATAATAATAACAACGTAAATTCTTGAACAATATTAATCTTATCACCTGGACACTTTCTGTATAAATGGCTTTAATTACATACATGATACCGATGATATAAAAAATACTTTACTACATATAAATGTGTAAGTAATGAATTTCACAGTTTGCAATTTGTTACTTATCATTTGAGGTTTTCAGTATCTTTTAAGATAGTCAGCAATTTACATTAAAAAATTTATTTTAATTTACACGATTTAAATTGAGTGGTTACCTTGTAAACATTCATTACTACATTTCAATACAAGTAGATAAAGTAAATTTATTTTCTTGTCAATTAAATAACTTTTTGTTATTCCATAATAACGAGCACGATGGTTATTCGACAAATATCTCATTTTTTGCAAAATTCTTATAGAATTATCTTCAAATTAAATTATTATAAATAATATAATATACGAACTATATCAATTTTTTATGTATATTACAAAACCAAGAAATTTAAAATTACAAATTAAAGTTCGTATTTGTATAAAAAATGTTATAAGAATCTAGAAAATATATAAATATCAAGATTTAATCATTTTGAAATTATACAAACGTATAGGTAATTTTCTATATTAAAATATACTTAAATTGAATTTTTATTTAATAATTTTTATAATGTCTTGAATGGACTTATTCAATAGTATAATTTTTTAAGGTTGCAACATTGATGAATTTGATTGTCAAGATGCCTGTATTTCTGATAAATTACGTTGTAATCATCGCCCTAACTGTCGGTATCGTTTCGATGAAGATGCAGATATCTGTAATGTAAGTCACAATCTTGGTATTAAAAATTTTTCATACCTTATATATTAATATCATATGAGTATCATATGAATATCATATTAAAAGTCAATTTTTTATTCATATAAGTTATAAAGACTTTTATGTAATTATACTGGTCAAAATATTATAAAAGAATTAAATTGTTTTTAATTAAAATGCTGTATATATTAAAAACATTTTACAATATTCTATAGAAATTTATAAAAATTAATTAAACTAATCTATTAAATTCAGCTTATAAACTTATTAAATAACTAGTAAAGAAATTATTATAGATATTTTTGTAATGAATGTATAAAATAAACTAATAAAAAACAAAAAATTAATAATAAAAAATACTTATCGTAGTAGTTAATTTTTGATAATTCAATTTTATAAGGGAAGATCACATTAATTGTCTTGTTAAGGTATTATTTTCATATAATTTTTATAAGTTTATTTGTATAGGTTTTCTTAGTACTAAAGTATGTAATAGTAATTCTTCATTAAAATCATATTTTATTTGTATTTAATTTTTCTGAAGTTGTAGGTTTTATTGTTTTATTAATAAATTTGCGTGATGTTACCTGTAGATTTATCATCTTTTTAAAATACTTAATAAATGCTATAAGATGTTTATATAACTAATACAGATCTTTTTTTTCTTTTTTAATTCCCTCTCTCACTCCCCCCCCCCCCCCCCCCCCCCCCGGCTCTATTTAGAAGAAATGGGATATCCGTAATATTAAATTAATTTTCTACTTTTTGTTTGTGTAAATTATATGTGGTACAGTTATTTTAACAATTGGGGATGATGCTTAAACAAACTAAATTTTATTTATACCTATAAAGATTTTATAAAATTTGATTTTAATAAATAATATAATTAGTATCTGAATAATTGTGAATTTAATTTAATAATTGAACCGAGGATAATCCATTTTTAATACTGTACGTAATGCAATTTCGATCACAAAAATTATTATAGAGATGTAATGTAAATTAAATATTACTGATTTATAGACATAAATTCATTGATTTTATAAAAATAATTGGTTATATCTATTACAATTTAATTATTTTATGATAAATAATACAATATTTTTATATACACAAAAATTATTAAATACAATTTAAATATAAAAACAAGTAAATATATACAATTATTTTAACTGAGATAATAATAATTTTGCATATCTTAAGTGCAATTTATTTATAATGTTTTATCTGAATGTTGTAATGTTTTCAATTACGAATGTTTTGAAGATTTTAGATTGTACTAAATTCATAATTTTATGTTTTCATAAAATTCCATAACTAAGAGGTTATTAAATAATATTGCTGTTTCCTACAATACTTGAAATCTGTTTTTTTTTTAAATTAATGTGTGTTATTGTTCGATTTTAAAGGTTTAATTTATGGCTCGAACTACCAATTCAATATTTCAATGGATTAGTCTCTCAGCAGGATAATTTTAAAGGAAATTATAATAGACAAGGCTGAAAAATATAATGTATTTATTAAAACAAGGTTTACTATTGTAAATAATTAAAATAATATTGCACTGTCGTGTAGAGAGAGATAATTCTATTGAGGTAATGAGAGTGTTTTCTTGTATTCTTGATTATTGAAGATTTTATGGATATTGCTTTGTCTTGTAATTGAGGTTATGCCGATGATGTAAATATTAGGTGATGTAGTCTGTCAGTCATGCTTATGAGGCGGCATGAAAAGATGGCGTTTGAATCAAGTACGCTTGGTGTATGAATAACTATACTTGATATGGTGTATGACGTTTAATGGAATTTATTAAGTAATCAATTGTGTCTTTAATTATGTAAAGGGACAGTAGAAGAATCTAGTCACAGGTAAGAGTGATTAATGGTAAGATTTCTAACTCTTGAAGGATGTAATAATCTGTATTTATAGTCTATTAGTTGATTTGTTGTTGTCCTTTGTGACAATGTGCTTAAGGCATAGCGACTCTTGTGTCAGCTGTTGATGGCCTGTACGATGTCGAAGTGTTAGTTCGAGAGAGCGTAAGTGTGCCCTATGTCTGCCAGAGGTCCTGAATGGTTCCGAAGTGTTCTTCGAAAGAATGTACGTTTGTCCTCTCTCTGGCGTGCCGTCTCTCTGCTAGCGAACTTGCATGGTCCGAAGTGTTCTTCGGGAGAGCGTAAGCGTGTCCTCTCTCTGCTAGCGAGCCTGCATGGTCGGAAGTGTTCTTCGGGAAGCGTGCGCTTACCCTCTCTCTGCTAGCAGGCCTGTACGGTTTCAAAGTGTTCTTCGAAATAGCGTAAGTTTGCCTAACTTGTTGTGTGATTTGATCACTATTCCATTGGATTCACTGTAATCACTATCTAATCTTGTTCTTATGCACGCGTGTATTCTTAACTATGCTGCCGAAAATATGGCCACGCGTCGTCTTCACATTATACAAAACATTGAGCGGCAGATACACTTGAGTGAGCGCGAAGTAATATTACAAATGAGCCCTTTGAATACGCACATGAACCGAAGGCTTGATCGTTCCGTGGCGGCTCTGTTGAAAATACCGACCGTTCCATGGCGGTCCTGCTGAGGGCAGACCCGTGTGCCATGGCTTCTACTGGTAGATGATTGAATCGGTTCACTATGGTCGATCATTGCGGTCGGGTCACGGCAAGATGTTAGCAGCAAGCGCAGTTCAGAAAGGAGGTATCTTCAGCAAGAGAGCGAGGCGCGCCGCGTGCGTCCCTTATATAGCCACGCGGCGACTCACTTAGCTGGCAACAAGGCATCGTCGTTGTTGCACTAATTTTTACACGAGGCGTCGAAGGAAAAATCTAGAACCTTCGAGAATGTTCGACGAGAGAAAAGTAGGAGTAATACAATTTGGGTGATCTTATAGTATATTATATTTCGGGTCGTAAACTTGCGCGGACTTACCGAGTTTCGTTTGTAAACATTTGCTCGAGTGCGCGTCCTGATCCACACGTGCGTAACAGTCTAGGCGCACATACTGTACGCCGGACAGCGTAAATGACCTTTCTTTTGTTTGAAATTCATGGGACTGCATCAATCCCGCACAGTTATGTTTTTTAAATATAAGATAGAAATTTGTATTTTATTTAAAGATATGATTTACACTTTTTTTTAAAAATATATTTACACTACGATCAATATGAGCTGTAAATTATTACAATTAAAATTGGTTGAAATATAATATTTAATTTAATTTTATATTCATTTGTTTACGTAGTTAAATATGAACTTTTATCTCATTTTATAATTATATATACAATATATTATATAGTTTTATTTTTTTGACACAAAAATCTGAACTTTAAAATAATTTATTTATCATCTTTAATATTTTTGGCAGTACCTTGAGAATTTTTTTTTATAAAATTATGAAAAAGCCAATAATTCCTCGCTAAACCGTCGTTAGCTCAATATCAGATTTAATATTCTTTAGTTATTTCTTATTATAAATTCAGTTAATGTTACAATACCAAATTTCATTCTATCAAAAACAACTAATAAAACCCAATATTTAATACTGATACATATTGAAAAATATAATAAGTAATGGTGTTAATCGTTAATTTATTCACATTTTATATGTTTATAAAAATTGTAATTGACACAAATATTTTATAATTTTTTAATTAGTATCAATAAGAAATATCTAATTTAAATGAATGAAGTATAAATTATTTTGAAATTGTATATATATTTTAATTTTACGTAATTGAATGTTTGCTTTTATAAATAATTGGTATAAATGTATACACTAATTTTTAAATAAAATATATTTTAAAGAAAATCTTTTGTTTCTTATATTTGATTAAATTTTATGCAAAATACATAACAAAATTAAATATATTTCAGACGAAAAGCACAGGATTAAATGTAAATTCTGAGCATGTTATCATCATTCTTATTGTATTTACGTTGCTCATGTCTGGACTATGTTTTACATTTATATTGAATTGTGTGAAAAAACTTATTCGTGATCATCGAATTATTAAGGTAAGTGATTTAACTGTTCAAATAGGTTTTAATATAATTCATACGAAAAAAAATTTTATACCCATGGCATACAAATTCTTTTTTATAAATAAGAAAAAAGTGCTAAATATTTCTATACATTTAAATAAACGCATGTACTTTGACACAAATAGTCTATTAATTTGACATTAGGTTTGATATAAAGATCTATCTTAAATTTCGTAATAATAATATTGCTTTATTTTATTAAATAGATATTAAAATCAAGTATAATGGAACTATTCTCAAATTCAAAATATGTAATAAATGCCTTTTAATAAAATATTATAAAAATCACAATAGAAATCGTTTTGTTTAGAAAATTTTCCTCATTTGAAATAATTCTAATTATTATTCAGATTATTTATATTTAGATTACTTAGTTAACTATTAAGTGTAGAATAATATATATTGTATATGAATAATACCTCATTATAAAATTCTATTATGTTTGTTCTATTATGATATATTAATAAAAATCGCTCGTACATGTGAATACGTTAGCGCCAGTTATTTGAATACCTTCTTTTTTTTATTTAATTTAGGAGCATATTCGACAATCACGTGAAAATCGTCTAGATGAGTTTGGTCGTAAAGCCAGCCCTTGCCTTATAACAGAGCTATGCACCGAAATTGGTAATAATGATCAATGTCATAGTAACGAGTTGCCAACTTTTGAAGTATTATCAAAGCCTAAAGAATTAATTTCGCACGTGACAATAAATGGACAGGATTATGAAAAGGAACAGAACATGAGACTATCTGTTGATCTTAATGATATTCATCAAAGTAATAATGTTAGTAATGCAACGCAAGAAAGACTACAAGAATCCAGTGAAGAACGAGAAATGCACGATATGGAATGTCAGACAAGAGAAAGTCTTTTCGCTTCTGATTTCATTCTTAAACCTGCCCATCCTGAATTTACAACATTTAGCTTTCAAACAGTAAAATTTATTACTTTTAATATTATTACGAGTAAATAATATCAATAATTTCTATTTTATTATTATATTATTTAGGAAATATGTAACCGAAAGAGAACTCTCAAATAGTTAAAATAATTAAATAAGTTTTTAAAGAATATAATAATATTTTCACAAAAGAGAAATGAATGGATAAATATATTAAAAAACTTTAATTATAAGTTTCATATTTTTGTTTATTTTTAATTGTGAACTTTTCAGCAAAAATAAATTATATAATTGAATTTAGTATTAAGATTATTAGTATTCTCGCTATTATAATTTATTTAAAAATATAATGAAAATATGATTATTGTAATTAATTCAAATTGATTTTATAAATATTTTCATAAAATTATAATTGTTAAAGTATATTTTAATTTCTTACACTTAGAAGAAATAATTTTAAAAATAAATAATTAATGTTATCTTATACAATGTCAAAAATACTATATTCGCAATTTTTTTGTACAATATTACTACTAATAATAAAATTATTATTTAGATAAATATTTTATAAAAATTAACGTCATTAATTTTTCATTTATATCACGTTATTATATTATACATTACAAGCATCATTAAATATTTAATGTAATGAAGAATTATATATTTCAATTATAAATATAAACATTTTTTTATGTTGTAGCCTAATTATCGAAGCAAGCTGTCATTTGATTACTATCCGATTTACGAATATCGCGATCATACGTATCCACATCAACAATCACAATCGTATAATTACTATCAGGATGATATGAATCAACAAGTTATAAAAAATAATTTTAAGACACTACCTGAAAAGATTGAACAGGATCCGATTCAACGTCAATATTCGACCAATTATCCATCTAATCAATTGTCATCGAAGTTATGTTTAAAGCACAGTTCAACACCTATTGTACCGGCACCTCCTGGATGGTCTTCTCATGGATCTACTTATAATTCTAGTGATCGAGTAAATTTTCAACGATTATCTATCACTAGCTCTACAAAGGTTACTAATGAAGAATCGAAAAATTCTTTCATTTCTCGTAGTAATAAAATTTCGCCTAACATTAGTATTCATAAAAAAATAAGTAGTTCTGATGAAAATTATGAATGTACATATGATAATACCGAAAAAAGTCATTCAGTAAGTAGTGGGAGTATTTCACAGAGGTCTGGAATAGCTAAACCAATCAAATGTCCACAAAAAGTAGACTCACAATTCACGACTGAAGCTGTTATCGAGGTAGATAAAAAAAGACCGTTTAGTATAGAAAGTACTAAAAGTGCACCTGACGTTATTGCAACACATTGACGTAAGTGTATTGAAGAGTGGAAGCCATATACGTAAGCTTCAGAAATAAAAAAACATTTAATTATTATTTCATTAAATTATATAAATATTATAAGTAAACATAAACTTAATTTGTTTTAACTATTTGAAGTCTGTATATAATTTTAAAGAAAATCATTTTATATATAAGGATATTATACTATGAAAATGTCTGTATTAGATTCAAAATAATTTAATACCATTTACTTATTTTAAATATAAGTTGAATTGATATCTTTTAATAATTAAATTAAATACATCTTATGATTTATACTCTGAATAATTCTAAATCAAAATTAAAACACAATTTATAATTTTTAATATTTAACAATTTATGATTGTTTATATTTATAATGATGTATACATATTTGTTTATATTTAATAATTTATATTAGAATATTAAATAATGTATTTTTATTTCTACAAAGAAAATCAATTTATAAAGTTTATAACAACTTTAAATTAACTATAGTTAAATAATTTTCAAATCATCGTTATAAATCAAATTAATACGGGCAGGTGTTTTAAAAATTTATAAAGGAAAAACTTTACCAAGAAAATATATTTTAATTTAATTACATATTATTGTTTGTCTTGATTGTATTGTATTTGCGTACAATTGAATTTTTTTATGGTTCTACATAAAGTACAAATTGTTCAGAGCTTTTAGGGTTAAGATTATAAATTTTTTTGTTTTCTTTCCATGTCTTTCTCTTTTTTTCTCATTATTTTGTTAATGAAAATTTTCAAAGTGCTTTTGCAATCAACAATACATTAATTTTCCAAATCGTGTATAATACATTATGATATTAACTTTTATTTCAGTTATAACAAGATTGATTGAAATGGAATTACTCTGCCATTATTTCCAGAAAAATAAAAAAAAAGTTTGTATTTCAATTGAATATTTGTTCTCTTTCCTTCACTTTTCAATCATCATAAGCAAATTTCATATTGAACACTGACTAGTCCTTAAAAAAAAAATTGCAATTTTATTTTGTATATTACTTTAGATATTTAGATTCTTTTCCTTTTTTATTATTTTTTTCTGTTTTAATTTAAATATTTTTAATATAAATACAAAATATTTAAGAGAAGGTATAAATTTGTAATTCGAATTATGATTGTGTAAACATGATTTATTATGAAAAATACTTCTAAGTATAAATGGATTGTATTTTTTTTTAATTTTGTTTTCATTTTTTATATATAAGCAATGTACGTTCGATGAATAGGTACCGCATAAGACAATTGTACCATCTTGGGATTTAAGAATATGTATGTAATAAGATTCTATATCAGATACATGTAAATAATGATTAAATAAATAATTATTAAATTATTGGTTTAGATGAACAAAGTTTCATATATATCTATTATATTTAAGAACAGTACATATGTATCGTTTTATTAATTTATGGTGATGTAGTTTGCTTGGCCCGAACTACCAATGCTTTAATAGCTTAGTTTGCCGTCTGCCCTAGCTAATGCTCGGGCTGGAGTTAAGTGGAAGGGCTGTAGAAATGTACGTTTTGATGAATATATGATTTATTTTACAATTTATTACAAAATTACATATTGGTGTCTTGCAATCTTCTTGGGTCTAATGTGGAGATGCGATTTCTTGGAACGTTTCTTGTGATGGATGTTTCACTACACAAGATGCTCTTCGAGATCGTGATGTTGATGTTGAATTAGTAAAATTTAGAAAACAAGCAATTACTGCACACTTCTTGTCATAGGGTGTGAGATGCTGTTAATAATAGCGTCATAGCAGTTTTGCTACGACTGGCAATAATTGAGTAGGTCAGTATTATTTTCCAGGGTTGTCTTCTTTGTTGCTTTTTAAAATTTTTGTTAAAATTTTAATTTTTAATATTCATTAAAAGGTTATTATTAATGTTTCGTTAAAATCTTATAGTAAAATATAAAGAGCAAAAACTTGATAAGTGGATATTTACATAAATCTGTAAATATCTTTATGATCAACTAGCTGTTATGAAACAGTTAACTATTTTTCCTTTATAAAATGTATAATATTTATAATATTAACTGATTTCAAGTAAAACTGAATCAATGATATATAAAAAATCAATGATAATTCAATTATTTTATAAATTCAGACTTTATATCTGATTTTTACTAATAAAGCATAAAAAACTATCATTTAAAAATATAAATATTTTAATATCATTTATAAAATTTATTATCATTTATTCAATATATATATATATATATTTATATATAATGTGTAAAAAAAGTAAAAAACAATTAAAACAAAGAATTTAATTACATTATGTCATAAATTGGTTTACATTTTAAACATTGTATTAATAATTAATAATATTATATTATTTAAACTTATTTAATTACACCTACTATACAGTATACTAAGTAATATTATCTCTAAGTTGTATAACATTCTAATTAATAAATATTCCATGGAAATTGTTAAAAATGCTAAATTTTATGCCCCATTAATAGTTCTTATAATAATGCAATTTAAGTAAAATTTTTATATTAAAAGTATATTATTTTGATGAGATAAATTGTAACATATTATTTAACATATTAAATAATTTCTAAATATTATTAAACTAATATTCACACTAAATTGTACATATATTTAAAAACTCTTAGTGTTATGCCTTCATAATTACTTTATCTATTGAATTCAACGTTACCATGAATTTTAAATCTTATAATATCTTATAATATTTCAACAGTTAAACTTTTCAGTCTTTAATTCAATTTGTGAAAAATATAAAAACAAAAAAAAGAAATATAAAAACTTCTTGTAATAAATAATAAAATATATTTTGTCACTATTTGTCACTATTTTATCAACAAGCTCATATGAAAAATAATACAGATATCGCAATATTATTTATTAATTTGATAAAATTATTCTGATCAATATTGAAAACTTGTATCTTTTTTATTAATATAAAAAATTTGTCTCAATGTTAACTAAACATTATAATTATCTATAATATACCATTTATATTGTTTAATGTATGTAAATTAAAATTTAAATTTAATGTATTTAGAGTATTTTAAAATTTTTTAATTAGTAATTGAACTTATTTATTATTATATAGATATATTGCTTAATATATATAAAGATATAAATTACAATGTAATAAAATAATTGTATATCTATTATTGGGTTAGGGAATAAAAATATTTTAACTATAAAGTATGTTTTGATTATGAAAATTATCTTAGTATTTAAAAATATTAATAATAATTTTCTATGTCCGATAAATAATAAAGTTTTTATTTTATTATATAATATAAATAAAGAATTAATGCCAAGAATTAAAATATATCAATTAAAAAAAATAATGAATATTAATCTAGTAATAGTTGCATTTATATAATATCCTTTAAAAATGATTTTAATTTATTAATTTATAAATTTAATAATTTAAAAATTATATTAAAAATAATCATACATATGTAATAAAAAATGGATCTTTTGATAAAGAAAAATGATATATATCAAATATAAATAGTACGTAAAGTAGAACACTTAGATCACCGTACAAATTTCATTTTTAATTTTCAAGTACAATTATTATATTATTGGAATTGGAATTTGAAATAAAAAAAAATGACTTAAGTCAAATAATATATAAAACCAAAATATTCAATAAATCAGTAAAATTAATAGTTAAAAATGCAGTTTCTTTTTTATTTAAAACCATGGAACAAAACATAGTATTATCATAATACTATATCATATAAATCGAAAAAAATTATAAATGTATTGTATTTAATCTTTACATTTAAATAATATTTAATTAGATATAAATAATCAATTATTAAAAAGTTATTGAAAGGCAAATTTAACTTTTGTATCTAATTCAAAATTTTTTATTTATTTATAAGTATATAATTAAATACGCAACGTCATGGTTAAATGAAATAAAATAAATATCAAAAGAGATACTTATAGGTAAATCAATATTTATTTAATATAATAATAATATATAAATGAAAAAGGTACTTTTATAATTTATAAGTGTTGCATTATGAATTACATGATATTAAAGATTGACATACGAAAACCACCATTTTCATGTATAAATGCACTGTGCGAAAGTTATATAAATCAAAATCATATAACTTTGATTTTGGTTTGAACTAATTAATTATATGTTTTTTGTAATGTTAATGTAGTCCAATGTATATAATTTTTTATTTTCAGTCTTTGTGCTAGCTTATAATTATTGCATGGAAAATTTAAATAATGTATTCATTATAGAATATGTCCTTTATAAAACTCAGAATTGCAAGAATTATATGTAATCATGACTACTGTAAAAAGTTGCTTTATTTAAATTTTACTATTTGGAAATTAGAAAAATTTATTGAACTATCCTTATATACTAACTCAAGTAATTATAAATTAGTGGTTTTTATTGATTTAAGATGACAATTATCCAAAAACGAATTGGAATTTAATAAGGTCAAAATGAACGGAATTCAATGTTATATATGAATAATAATACTTGTACAAATGTATTTTATAAGATTTTCAATAGATTTGAAAAAAATAAAAACATAAATAAAGAGAGGTATAATATAATTACATTAATAATTCAATATCTTGGATTCATTTGGATTATGTTGGACTTTTATATTTTCCTTAGGCTACAAATTATAAGATTTTTGATGAATCATGCTGTTAGCTCATACTTGAATGGGATTTAAATAAAAATATATCGATAATAATGAATAATTCATTTGATTTATCCATGAATATTTTTATTGCCATTTTTTAAGAAATTAACTATATTTTTTATGATATTTACAATCTTTGTAAATTACGAGGTGGAAATTTAAATATTATGTGATTTGACCTATAGAATGAAAAAAGTAACTCTCTTAGAAATAAATAAAACAACAATGTAATCTACAAAGTATGACCCTTAAGTTAGGTGTAAGTAAATATATCAATGATTTAATTGAATGAAGTTAAAAAAACATCAAATTCTATTTTATACTTCATATATATTAGATAA